ACCTTTACAAACAAGGTTGGGGCAATCTCCACAACTCAATTGGAGGCTCCCAACGACACCATGAAGCTTCACCACAATGGACTATGTCTTCGCGGTGACCTCAACCGTATAGGATGCTTAAACACCCAAGAGTAACAAGATCCGCAAGGGATTAGTGGGGGGATCAAATTTCTCTTGGTGGAAGTGTGGATCGAGGCCTTCTCAACCACTCCCGAACAAATCAACAAGTTTGATTGGCTAGGGAGTGAGATCGGGCGAAAATGGAGCTTAGAGCAATAATGGAGCTTAGGGTTGGAAGGGATGAGTCAACGGGGAAGAAGGGGACCCCTTATATAGTGTAGGACAAAGATCCAACCGTTCCCCACCAACCAGCCCGCGGTCAGCGGTACTACTTCGCCAGGCCAGCGGTACTACCGCAGAGCTGCGCGGTACTACCGCTTGCTACCAAGCGGTACTACCGCATGGCCATGCGGTACTACCGCATGGCCATGCGGTACTACCGTACTGGCCCGCGAAACTGCCGCAACCCCAGCGACAGCAAGGTCAGATCTGACGCGCAGGAGCTGAGGGCGGTACTTCTACAAGCGCGGTACTACCGCGCCTCCATGCGGTACTACTGTAAGGCAGAAATCCCCTAGCCAGGGGGGAGGAAACATCCGTGCCTACTTCCGCAAAGAAACGGAAGAAGAAAAAACCTGACACAGTAGTACAGTCGAGGGGCGGTACTACTGCCTGACAGCATAGCACGGTACTACCGTGGAGCGAAAGCGGTACTACCGTAGGTGCGGATGTAAAAAATTATATCCGCCCCTACTACCGCAAAGGAGCAGTACTAGCCTGGTGGGCAGCGGTAGTGCAGCTCCAGGGGAGCGGTACTACCGTGGGCACCTGCGGTACTACCGCGCCACCGCACGGTACTACCGTTGATGCCTACGGTACTACCGCTTTCCTAGGAGCAGTACTACCGCGACCCAACTCAGCAGCCAGAACCAGGGAGGCGAGAAAGCGGAGGAAGCTCCAAGGGAAAAAGCAGGGAACAAGAAGGAGACGTGTACGTGATGATTCCACACAAACCTTTCCAATGCGGACCCCCTCTTAATAGTACGGCTTTCCTACGACTCAAATCTACAAAAAAGAAACGTAGAAAAGACGTCGTCTTCAACAGTCTTCGAGGGGCACCCAACCGTCTTGTGCCTAGCGATGAAATGTCTGGGATACTCAAGGCACACGATTAGTCCGCAAACGCGTTGTCATCAATCACCAAAACACCTTAGGGATAAATATGCCCTTACAGATACCCAACAGTACATATATATACAACTAAGAGAATCTCCATGTGACTCGTAGATATAAAATATGAAAGTAACAAAAGAGAGCTTGCTAGGAGTCTACATCCAATTCTCTGATTTTTTTTAATTTTCGCTCCTTCATGAGCCATGTGTTTTCTGTGCTTTTTAACTTCTAGAAAGAAAATGGTTGCTCTTTTAAAAGTAGTAAAGATAGCAATGTAGGCAAACTCACTCACAAATAGCTAATTATAAGGCTAGTGACTATCAGGAAAAAAAACTGATTCCATCAATTGCTTTTCTCCTTGCTTGTGAATCCTGACTATATATATAGCTAAAAGAGAAGAATACTGATACCTCGCCAGTCATATAAAATAGAGCTAATTACTCGAGCTTCTTCTAAACTTAGGATCAAAGGCCAATGCACGTCTTGACTAATATGAAATGTGCATATACAAAATAAAACTTTGGAGAAAGACTTTAAGAAATAAGATACTCCCTCCATCCCAAATTAAGTGACTCGACTTTGCACTAACTTTAGTACAATGTTAGTACAGAGTTGAGTCACTTATTTTGGGATGGAGGGAGTATATGACAAAGTAATAACAGTGAAGGCAGCAAACAAAAGAGATACTTAAACCCAAATATGTCAAGCTGGCACTTGTGTCCTTGACCATTATGAAGAGGACACCTTTGTTCCCTTTGAAGAAACAAGTCAGACCTGCATATGTATCTTCAATTGTCATATATATTTAGAGCAAAACAAACAAAATGAAAGAACTGTTTTACCTTTTTACTGTGAAGGCTGCATATTCGTACATTTTCCAATGTCGTCACTAACAAGCTAACACATGAGACATATCAATGCATTATCAACTTGAATTTGTGTTGCTCAATTTGAACAGTAGTCTAATAGCAGAGGGTAACACATAAAAGAATATTATCTCTTGTCTCATGTCCGTACTGACGCCTTTGCCATTTCAAAAATCTTACTCCAGCCTTCCATTTGGCCGTACTTCTGAAATCATCATGCTGCAAAAAGGAACACCAAGTTCAGCAAGCCAAATGTTCATTTCTCTTCTATATACTACCAAACTATACAATTTGTATGTTAAGTCTCAAAAGTTGAGGGAGCCAAAAGTTTATTCCAGTCATGTTTTTCGTTGGACATCCTATATCGCAGGGACGTGCAAGTCCAGCAATGGATTCACATTGTCCATCCTATAATATTATCCGTATCTACATCCAGTAGTGCATGTCTTGCTATCTTGTAATTTACATCTATTAAGTAGGAATAGTTCATGATTATTGTGCACAAAATTGGCAATATAAGGACTGTCCAGTGAAGCATGCTCCCTACACTCTACACTGAAAGAGAATATTTAGAATTCTATAATGTGACTGAACCAGCAGGAACATGTATCGAGTGAAATGAACTTGAAAAGATTTGCAAGTGAAACCTCATAAAATAAATTTGATCTTCTCACCATCATTATCTCCAAGCACAATCTGCTTTCTTTCTGTACATAAAAAACGTTCCAAGTTCTCAATCTCCTAAAAAAAGTTCTCAATCTTCTCGATCCTGCAAGAAAGAAAGGGTGGGTTCTCTATTGTTGAAAGGTTATCTGGCTAGGTTGTTCATACATGCTAGTCTCCCAAAACCAATCAATATGCGTGCTTGCAAACACTTGTACATGCATGATGCTATGGCCAAAAGCACTTCAGACATACACCATTGACAAATCACTGCAGGACCTAATTCCGTTTGATGCTGCAAACCTTTAGGGATCTAAAAATCAACTCGAAAATTAGTCAAAGACCTTGTGAGATTAATATTCCACTTATTGGGATCAACTATAAAAATCAGCTAAGTTGATTTATACAACAAATTGCAAAATGATTACTCAGATAAATCAATAAGCGTAAAAGAATGTGGCCAGGTAGATTCATGCAATTTTTATGGTTTGCCAGGATATGGTCAGATCGATCAGCAAATAAATTCCATAGAAAAAAAGGCACTCGAACCAACAATAGCCAGCACAGGACTGATTGCTACTCCCTCTGTAAACTAATATAAGAGCGTTTAGATCACTACTTTAGTATTCTAAAAGCTCTTATATTAGTTTACGGAGGGAGTAATTACTAAGTTGTGGCAAACGTACCTATGATGCGGCTGGCCTCGGCAACCATGGGACGGGTGTGGGTTGGGGGTGGAGGCGGGGATCAATAGCAGCAATTCTCATGTGGTCTCGGCGTCGGATCGCATGCCACAACAGCACCTCCGCCTATGGCGGCGTCAACGGCGAGCGAGGAGGGAGGACAAATCCCCTGTTGGAGTCGATGCATCGGCTCCGTCCTGGTTGACCAGGAGGCCGGGAGCCTCAGTGGCCACCTGAGGCGCGTGGCACTGACGGGAGAGCGCGGAGGGGCGGCGGCCCAGCATGGTGGGACACTATTTTTTCTTCCCTTTTTGCGTCCCTTCGGTGCATGATTGTAGGCGTAGGAGTTGCGGACCTGGACGTCACCTGATTACGCTTTAAGAGAAAACGCACTTGGCGGGCGATTTTCTGGCAGAGTACGTTCGCAGGGTTATTATTGCTACTAGTAAGCGTGCACGTGCAACGCACGTCTTCATTAACGCATAAATTTTACTCTTTTACAACCTACAACACACGTTTTCTTGCACAAGGCAAGATTCTCTACACATCTAGGTTACAACCTACAACAAATATATTTAAACACAGTTTCCAACTTGCAAGCAGGTGGAAAAATCAAGAAAATATGAAGGTCATCCCTTTAGGAATTAGAGGTCCTCGTCAAGGATTTCATTGTTTCTCTCCTTATTTTTATTGCCACCTGGCTATCATAAAGAGTGAAAATGTTACATACATCTTAGTGTCATATAATCCTATTCAAGTGTTAATATAATAAAATATTCTTGATGACCTTTAACACTTCCAAAAACACTCACTGCGAAACATAAAAGTGTTCAGTTGTCTTAACAAATACTTGTAAAACTGAAAAAACAAATTCATGGCGTAAATTTAAAAATTAACATAAAAATAATGCCGAAGAAAATGTAAGTATAAATAAATTTGAACTAAACTTGACATATTTCAAAATCAAAACCTTTATATGGCTGGCAATGAATCATCCTATACAGCAAAATATGAGTGTCGGACAAAATACCGCCCGTAGGTACTCCATGAAATTTAACATTCAAAGACCACAACTTGCATGATTATGAAATTTTGATAGGTTCAATAACAAATACCGATAAAAATCTTAATATTTTTATAAAACTTTCAAAATGATTGTGAATGAATACTTTTTGTACCCGTTGTGACCGTATAAAATGATCGCACATCCACATAGTCAAACTGGACACACCTGATAAAAAAGAATTGGACAAAGTCCAATGCTGAATACAAACCAAATGACCAAATGCGCTAGGGATAAAAAATGAATTGGACAACATCGGACGCTATATCTGATCTGACTTAGACCAAAAGGGCTAAAATACTAACTTAGAAAAGAAAAGAAATGACCCCTCAAAAAAGAAAAAAGAGCTAAAAAAAAGCACACTTGTCTCTCCCTCTCGGTTCTCCTCACCTCTCTCACCAACCTGCCCCTAACCTTATCCCTTCACTGTCTCCCCACTGCTCCCTATTCCGTGGTGGCCACAAGCCCACAACACACACACACTATCTCTCTCTACCTCCTCAGGCCGCCCATCCTCTTCGTCCCCATCACCGGAGCGAGGTCTCGCAGGCTCGCACTCCCCCCAATCTTCTCGGCCCCTCCTCGTCGAGTCTGTCGCCGAAGTGCCGAAGGATCCGCTCGAGCTCGGCATGGTCGCTGGGCGCGGGACTCGTCTCCATCAGATTGGGGGCAGTGGCAATCGTGCATCGCAACCTCCGCGCCCGGTGCCTCCATCTCCATCTCGCTCGTCGGTGGCTCCCACCACCCTGTGCGTGCGACTGCGCCGCACCCTGCCCTGCCTAGGTCCGGCAGCAGTGCCGCGGTGGCTGGTCCCTGCAAGTGCAAGCCGGCGCCATTAGAAGATCTATTCCCCACTTCAGCTTTCATATCTGCTTGTATCTGATGTGAGTTACTCCCCATTACCCACTTCTTCTAATCCCTAATTGCTATCCATTCCTGTATAGTACATATGTAGCTCAGTAGTCTAGGTTTAAGCATGAGAGTCATTTTAGAATCGGGGAGAAAAATTAGAAGTTGGGGTGATCCTATTTTGGTCTGCCTAATCTTGGAGTAAGCTGTTCGATTAGACGTTCTTAACTTGGTTGGGGCAACTGTTATGAGTGGGGATTCCAGTTAGTTAATATTCTTCAGGCAACCATACTGCGATAAAGCTGATTGATTGGTGGATTAGAATTCTGGGTGGCTAGGGGCGATAGGGACCAAGACAGATGAGGTTGATTTGGCTTGATCCTACTACTTACTTACTTACGAAGCCTTTTATCCCAAACAAGTTGGGGTAGGCTAGATATGAAACCCTTTCACGAGGACTTCCCAGGAGGTCACCCATCCTAGTACTACTCTTGCCCAAATGGGTTTCATACCCAAAAGACTGGCTAGTTTTTACGTTGGCTCGCCAAGCCTATCACAACCCTTAGATATGAAACCCTTTCACGAGGACTTCCTAGGAGGTCACCCATCCTAGTACTATTCTCGCTCAAATGGGTTTCATACCTATGGGACTGGCTAGTTTTTACGTTGGCTCGCCAAGCCTATCACAACCCTCCTCCTTTACCCGGGCTTGGGACCGGCTATGCCTAGAAGACATAGGCGGAGTTGTTGATTTGGCTTGATCCTGCCAAAGAAATTTACTTCTATTTTGAAAAATGAACACATGTTCTTAGATGTGCAGGGTTATGTTTCCAAATGTGAGGTTTATAGCAAATCAAAGAGGATCAAGAGAAGCATAGTACGATAGTACAGTAGGATAAGCATGTATGACTGTAGGATAATACAGTTTGAAGAATGATGATGGTATGGTTCTCATATATAGAGGACGGTGGTTGGCTCAAAGAGTTTATCACCTCAAAAATTTCCTTTCTTGGAATAACTTGCCTCATTAGAAGTCCATAAACATCTCTGGCATCTTCAGTACTACTTACGGCAGCTACACAAGTGTTATTCATGATATAGCACAACCTTTTAGATATATTTCTTGTTGTCCCGGCCCCCCTGTTAAAACAGAAGTTCTTTCGCAGGCTTACAAGAAATGGATTTTGAAGACCATCTAACTATCTAAGAGTCATGGAATTCGTTCCATCCTAAAATTTTGGGACTCTGGAATAAACACAAAGATGGGAATGGGGATGCATACCTGCCTGCCATACACATTGACATGTTTTCAATACTCATCCCGAAGCTTTTCAGCGTTGTACAGAAGAAGTTATTGACAGGTTTACTTCATGATAGTCTTGGCTTTTGTTTTGGCCAAAATGATCAGGTACTTACTCACATAATTTCTGAATATTCCAGTTATTTGTTGAATGCATCAGTTAGACTACTGTGATACATCAAAGCTTCTCTGTAACTGAAACGACATAATTTTGGAGGAGGACTATCCTGTTTCCAAATCCTAGCTCTGCCATTGATTCTACCTGAATTTACTTTAGTAGATTTTCTCTTGTAAAATCCAAACTGTTTCCGAGCCTATATGTTTGGTTTAATATTTTTGTTTATCATGCAATACTTATCCCGCAGCCATCTAATATACAAATTTGATAATAGAAGACGACCTCATTTATGTACAGAAAAAATGCATATTCTTGGACTGGGTTTTCTTCCGCACTCTCTTGGATCAGGTTACAAATACATCATACTGACTGGGTTTTATTCATTCAGTCATATAGATTCGAATACTATACTGTTAAACCAATATGATGGAGGGCTCCAGTTTGATGCACTGTTAAAATTCATGTTGAAGTTACAGGAGGTAGATCTATTATGGTTTGCACAAAAATGATGCATTGATCAGCACATTGTTGTAAATATGCAAATTTGAGAGTGAAGAACATTGTTATAAGGATGCAAATTTGACATGGATTAGAGAAGCAAATGAAGAACGCACATATATGTTAAATAGAATTTTGTGTAAAATCAGGAACTGGTCGGCCCCATAAGTTAACCCAATTGAATATCCTGTAAAATCATACCCATGTTCCTTTGGTGCAGGCAGGTGCGTTGCCTGAGGAATTCGTCGGCGCCTACGTCGTCGGCCGCGAAAGGGGGCGATGGCCAAAACTGACTGGGCGGCGACGGCGCAACAGTGGCTTGCGGCGCCGACGTCTCACTGCAGTGTCCGTCTGAACAACGACATCGAAGAAAGACACTGAGATTAACTGGGATGGAACCGGCCACATATTGCGCACAAGAGGATAGTCTGCACCTGCTTTCGCGAGAAGCTCTTCGGCGCGGTCGTCGTCCGCGCCACATGGCTGCGATGGCGCAGGACAGACTCTGCGGCTGCGACGTACGTCCGGGTGGGCAAGGGTAGGAAGATCCATCTGATTCCCGTAAGTTTAGCTACTTGTTGTTAGGCGGACGTGTTTAATTGCCGTTAATTGTGGCTAATTTTCTGTAGTTTAGCCATTTATTGTTGGGACGGGAACATAATTTGTGGAACCGTTCCGGTCTTGCGTGAGCGTGTGTTTAATCTCTACTCCTAATGGAGCAGTTGGTAGTCTCACTTCCAGGTTTTTTTTCGTCCCACCATTTTCGTCCGGTTTTTTTTCGTAGGTTAATCGTCGTAGATTTTTTTCGATGCTGGTTTCTTATTCACCGGTTTATTTACCTCTCAGCTCTTTCCTTGCAAATCAGCACTTTCCAAACGTCCACGCAATCACGGATCTAAATTTACTAACTTGTTCAAATCAACCGATACCTTCCATTATTGCAAATTTCTTTAGGAAACAAATAATAGATTTTAAGGAAACAAATAAAAGATTTTAAAGACGCATCATACTTTACTAACAATCACTAAAAATCAAATCTAAATTAATTAACCTTACCTTAAATCACTCAATCACTTTAATTAGAAAACATTTTCTTTCCTAACTGCACCCCGCTTAGTGTGCACATAACAATCCGAAGTAATTAGAGTCACATGATTGAATCCATTTATTTAGAGCGACATGATTGAATTCATTTATAACAATAATTCTCACCAAAAGTGCGTTTAGCAATTTTAGAGGGCGGACCAAAACTCTGCCATCCGCTCACCCACGTTTATTTAGGTACATGAAAAAATGCCATAATATATGGAAACAACACGACCGGGGCGGCGGTGCAATCTTCGGGGATAGGGGATTGGAGGAGAAGGATTGGCCTGGCAGCATGACCGGGGTGCTTCCCCGCGGCCGCGGCCGTCCTCGCGATGCTACCTACCCGAAATCAATGCTGCTCCCTGCCGTCAGCCGAGGCGACGCCGCCTGCCCTCCTACCCACGGTCCGCTGCCGTGTGCGGCTAAGGCGGGAGGAGTAGCGACGGGGTCGAGGTCCTTCATGCGTTCCGGGATGGAGGCCATGATTTCATCGAGGTCGTTGCTGCCTCCTACACTAAGGGTGTGTCGCCGAGATTGAGGCGAGCATGAGGAGCTGTGGCCACCACCATGGTCACCCCATCGCAGGGGATGGAGCACGCCGCTGGCCTACAACTTGTGGAAATCACTGTTTCTCTTCAGGTCGCGTGGTGACCGGATCTTGCCGATGTGTCCCTCCCCGACGACCTCCTCTTTGCCCGGTTGGCCGGCATGGATCTCGCCATTGCTGCCCTCAACTTCTCTGCCTCGAGCTCGATGGTCAGCCACCATGGATCCCCCAGCTGGAGGGTCACGTGAACCAGCCGTCCTCCCATGCTGCAGCGGCGAGAAGGTGACATGGCTCTCCGTGCACGAATAGTGGAGTTCAGTCAAGTACTTATATACTTGGCCTCTACTGCTGATCCATGTACATGGAGAAGAACAGACAACCGCTCATTCATGCTTCGTTCCACTCCTTTGCGCTACATTACTGGAGGTGACATTTTCCTATCTCTCTATGTTGTAACAAGCCTGCTGCCTGCATAGCTAATGGATTTTTTATTTAAATTTATCGCTGCTTAGTGCTTTGTTGCAATTGTTCACCCAACATTCTTATATATAATCTGAGCGTATGTAGGCATACTTAGCTTTGCTATTCCATTTTTTCTGGCGCATAGAAATAAGAGTATTGTCCTGGTTAGGTATTCAATTGAGTATGGTATTTGGATTGCTATCATAATGTCTTTTCTATGCATGTGATTTCTCACATCTGGTTATAATATTTGTGAAGACGTGCATTCACGTGCACTTGGAAGCGGGCCCGTGGCCCGCGCTGGACGGTGCCGACGCCGACCCGAGCCACCTCGTCCGCGTATTCTTGGAGCTTTGGCTGGTCGATTTTCATGAAATTAATTCCCTCAGTTCTGGTGGCAAATATAATACACATAATCCATATTGTTATGCATTAGCGTGTATGTGTGAAATAGATGGATTATGGTCCCGTACCCAATAAGATGGATATGTGTGTGTGTTAGAGAGAGAGGGAGAGGGGGATAGAGAGTGAGGAAGAGGGAGGGAGAGTGTGTGTCTGTGTGTGTGAGGATTTGATGGTAAAAAAGGTCGCCAATGTCATAATATTGAACTCTTAAAGTTAATGTGGCCCCGTTGCAACGCACGGGCATTCTTCTAGTAGTTAGTGTAGATGGGATGGGGCTTGCCTGCTCCGCCCCCGTACTCCCATCTGTGCTCCGCGCACGTCCTTCCGCAGCGAACGGTTCCCGTTCTTTTCTTTCCGTGGCTCTTTCCTTCGAAGAAATAATTCACAAACAACCATGTATTCTGTGTCCTTCCCATACTCGTACGCACATATCTCATCACATCTGATTATATACCCGATGGATTCCACGATGTGGTAGCAGCGGCTCCTAGTCTCAAGCACTACTCGCCATCGTACTCATCTAGCTTGGTCGCCGATGTTGTTTGGCGGCAAGCCGGAAGCAACATCAATGGGAAAGCGGCTGCAGCGGCAATGAGGCTGTCGTCGGTGAGCGCCGACGGACAAGCAGACGA